GGGGGGGGGGGGGGGTTGTTTTGCCTGTTTGCTTTAAGATAAGGCAACCAGACCAAAGTGCATTATTCCATGAGAGGGTAAACCTTTAATTTATAGTCACATCCTAATATTTTCACTATTTTTCTCTACTCCTTTCCTTAAGCAGTGATGCATTTTGTTTTTTGACCCCTGCAACATACCAAATGGAGGTTTTAATTGAGCTGTCCACAGTACTGCCTAGACCAACCTTCCTGTGTGGTTAATTAAGAACCCTGCAGTGTGGTTACACAACAACAACAACAAAAAAATCCTCTGCTGTCCTCCTGTTTGTCCACTCGCTAAGCTTCATCAGGACCTGTTGAATTTTTAACATTCAACATTTCCCGCCTAACATTAAAAACGTGTCCCCCTTCCAGAATTCAGACAGAACCACAGACAATTGTGTACCTTTATGATCTCCATCCCATCACCTTTCTAAGACCAGGATTTAAACAGTTAACAAAGTTGGCATGTAAATGACCATCACTGGGTCTCTGTGTTCGCCCTGCTCCCAGCTATCACTCCTGGCTCTCCGCAGACTCAGCCAGGCCCTGTCTGCATCACTTTCACATGCTTGGCCTTTATGAAGTGTTCAGCCATGATCATTACACAAGAAAATATTGAGAGGGGCTGAGATACAAGTCACCACATATCGCAGCCCCACCTGCTGTAGTTTATGCTCCTTTTCTGGCTTTCCTTGTGCTGGATTTTTATCTTTTCAAAAAATTCACGTTAGTTTTTTCTGCTGCTACAAAGCTGCTCCATTCTACTGGTCAGCTTGCCAACAGCTGCCCCCAAGCAGACTGTGTACGACAAATGAACTATGGTTCATGCCAGCTGTTCAAACTGCAGCCAGAGGGAAACTGTACTGCATCTGTACTGACAGAATGGGATGAGTAGGCCACCAGGACTTATACCCCTTCAGTTCAGTTCCCAGCCTTCAGATAAGCACCTAATTCTTTTAGACCCCTTGGAAAAGTGACACGCTCCCATCCCCAGTGGCACAGGCCAGAAAAATATAAGAGATACAAGCCCTACTGCTTCAAGGCATAAGCCAGCTGTAGTCACTGGGATTAAGGGGGAAAAATAATAATAAAAAAAAAATCTTGCTGCAAGTGAATGCTGTTCACGTATCTATTATGGGGTTTTTTTACACATTCCTTTGAACCACAGGGACACGGACTGCTGCTGGAGACAGGACTCCCAATTCTTTCGATCTGATAGGTTATTCTCTAGGTTTGATGGCATCTTCAAACATAGAGACAGTGCGCACAGCTGTGCTTCCTCAGATTTATCAAGGAGATCTTCAGCTGCAGCGGGAAATAAAGGAACCCCAAACACATCAGTTCACTTGATCGGGTTTGTGGGTCTTATGGTTTGTCATAACAAACAGCTCTCCCTCCTTCTCAAAAGAAAAAAAAAATGAAATGGGAAAGCAGAGAAATAATAATTGAAATAATAATTTTTTAAAAACCCAAAGGAGGGATACTAGTTGAAAGGTTCCCAGCTGACATCAAAACTGCAGACAGTAATTCTGTAGTCACTTTAAAAAGAAGCTACCACCCATTTTTTCAAGCCAAGATCCTGAAAGTTTCAAAGCCAGGTGGTAAAAGAGACCTGGTGATTCTGAGCCAGATGCTCAGCTGACACCAGGCCCTGAATCTGGCCATCTACTTGCGGTGTCAAGTCTCCAGGTAAGAGACCATTTCCAATCTACTCAGAGACTGATCAGTAATCAAACAAGAAGAAAACGCTTTAATATTTCAATTGCCAGGACCAAACCATGACAGTGACTGAAAACTGTCCCTATTCGGTGGCTTGTCTGAAATGCGGGAGATTACTTCCAATGGAAAATAGTCCAAGACCCTCACTGTCCACACCACCACGCGCCCTGAGCTGATCTGTGCAGCAGTTTTCTATTGCTGTCCTGCCCCTAACAGAGGGCTACGAGCCTGCCTGTTCTTAGTTCATGAGTTCATCACAGAAAGGACTGTTCGTGAACACCCGGGAGGCATCGTCCCAGGAGCTGCAGCTACCACAAATAAATACCGACTTCTTGCTCTGACTGGCTTCCCTGTGCACAGACACAGCAGGGGACACTGGTGAGAACCGAGCCACGGAGAGCAAACAACCCTCTCTCCCTTTCTAAAGGGGAGAGGCACAAAGGTAGTGACAATGCCCCCTACGCTGCACCTGCTTCTGACAAAGAAGTGTTGTACTGGCACTTTCCCACCAGCATTGAAACCCATCTGAAAAGAAAAATAACGCAGGAGAAATGTTTAAGGTTGACCTTCTTTTAAAAGCAGAAGTGGGTCTTATTTGTGAATCTGTAAGATGACGCTGGGCTCCTCTGCTACCAGAATCCCTTGCTATCGTTCTCACAAGATGGCTGCCTCAGCAGTCACAGAAAGGCTGAGCACAGTGGAGAACTTCATTTTCAATCACACTTGTCTGCCCATTCATTCTGCAACTAGCTTCTTAGCTGAAACTTTCCACTTGCTGAGCGGAGCAGAACAGGTGCAGCAGCCTGCTTTGAAAGAACCAGCGAGATGTAGCAGGGAGGTCTCCGGTGTGGACATTAGCAGAAGAATTTAAGTCACTCAGTTGTGAGAAGTGATTCGTTACTTAGCTACTCACAGCAACAAAATGAAATACAACACAATCTTCATAAATGCAACAGCAACTTTTCTTCCATTCACCTCTTTCCACCCCAGGAACTGACCTAAACTTTTCCCCATACAAAGAACAAAACTAGCACCTTTCCCTAGGGCTGTGGGAAATATCACTCTATTCACTGCTGTACTAGTCTCCCGTAGGTTTTATAATGGGTGCAATATTAGATCGAACAGAGCTTTTATTCAAAGCATGCAACTAATACTGAGCTTTATTTTGCCTAGCTATTAATCCCAGAAAAAGAAACTAAAATGACTGACACACTTGAACAGTTCACCTCTATCGATGTAAGTTAAGGTTTTAGTTTAATTTATTTCTTATTCTTACACTCCTTGGTAATGCCAGGGTGAAGCCAGAGCAAGCAGTGCACAATTGCTACCTTACAAAAAGGGCGCATCTCCACATTATCTTTTAGTCGAAGAACTCAACACATTCAATGCATCAGGTGTCATAAAAAGCCTGTGAGGTAGGTAATATTCAAGCTCATCTTACAGTTGGACAGGACTTGGGTACCAAGGACTTGCATGACTTATAAAAGGTCATGCAGTAAGTTGGTGGAAAGACTGGCTTAGAGAGGTAGCATCACTTCCCTGGACCTGTTTGTCATACGTCTGCTAATGCATGATAAAGCGTGGTTAGCCTTGTTGCTCACTTCGTCACACTGACAACTCGCATTCATCTTGGAGTCAACTGTGACTCCAAGATCCCTTTCCGCTTCTGTGCTGCTGAGAAGGTCCTCCCCCAGCCAGTAAGTGTGTTGGTGATTCTTTTTGCCCAGGTGCAGCACTTTGCACTTGTCTTTGTTGAACTGCATCCTATTTCTTTCTGCCCATTTTTCCAACCTGTTCACATCTGCCTGGATCCATTCCCTACCCTCTGGTCTATTAACTTTGCCCCATAATTTGGTATCATCTGCGAACTTGGACAAGGTGCTCTCCACCCCCTCGTCCAAGTCACTGGTGACGACACTGAATAGCACCAGTCCAAGGACCGAGCCTTGTGGGACTGCACTGCCCACATCTTTGCAGGTCAAAACCGACCCGTCCACCAGCACTCTCTGGGTGCAACCCCTAAGCCAATTTGCCACCCACCTGACCGTGTAATCATCTACATCACAGCCTGTCAGTTTATTTATGAGAAGAGAAGGAGATACTGTATTGAAGGCCTTCTTAACATCTAGATGGATTACATCTAGGTAGATTGTTACCAGTGATTGCCTGTATGGGGAATTTTGTCTAAGCTCAATCTCTGAAGTGTTCAGAACATTTTCCTACTCCAGGGAGAGGGGTGAGGAAGTATACAGTGAGGAAGTGTAGCATCCTTTAGCTCAAACAGTAAAATCTCAGGCTTTTCAATCAAAAGTTCAATCCTCAGAGTTTTAGACCCTGGGTGCACTCCTTGCACATAACCTAGGCAAGGGAATACTCGCAAAACAACAAAGTCTGGTCAACTCTTGTCCCAAGTAGCAGATGACAGTTCCCACCCAATCCCAAGCTCTCTTGGGCCTAATCAAAAGCCACATGCATCAGAAACCTGACATGGAATCTTTTTCCTAGGTGACCTGCAGATTCTTCGACAGACCCAAAAGTCTCTGATAGGTTGGAGAAGTGTCCAGTTCTTGGGATGTTTCACCAAACCTCCCAGCCACGTGTATTGCCTCCACTGCTACATTCTGTGCGGTCTCTAAGGAAACCATTGCATGACAACTTGTCAGGCAGTTGTAACAATTTAATGTTTGGGCAACACTCGAAAACATATATCACCATATAAGTGCTAAGTTTTACTGTTAATAGAACTGGTGAACATTAACTAATTGAACTCCTGTAACAGACAAAGTTGGTAAATGAAGGTCAGATAAGAACAATGTATACAGCCACACAATCCAATCATCATGCAAACCACAGTCAGGCATGTTTAAAAAAAATAGGATAATACACATATTATTCTGCAACAGGGAATGGAAGTTACACAGCTTGGATTCTAGGACTTGCAATTTTCTGAGACATATGAAAATAATAATAATAGAGTTGGCAGATTGAAAGAAGGGGGATTGCTTGGAAGTCCAATACCTTGTGAAGCACTGAGACTGGAAATGAATGCTTTATACCATTGCACAGCTGGGATTCTCAGCTTCCCTATGTCACACTGTATGCTGTTAGTCCAAGTCAGTCAAGAGGTGTCAGACTCCAAAGTATCATTCTCTTCTGATCATCATCTACGATTTTTTAACCCACCTGATTCCAGAGACTGCTGTCTTGAGACCAGCTAGAGTGAGAAAGCAATGGTTTGTATCATATTAAAGAAGCCTAATATCCCAGGCTTAAGCAAACAGAAGGTACCAAGTTCTCCTCTCTGTTATGCTGATGACACTAAATCAGACCCATCTGAATTTCACCTCCAGTCCTCCAAATCTTAATCATATGTGTAACGCTGACATCAAGTGGGACTGCTCACATGCTTACAGTTACGTACATGGCTGCTTGCTGGGCAAGGGCATTAGCCTCTAACTAAAGCATTCTTGTAAGGAAGTGGTTTTTAAAAATGGTGTCAGAGTACTGAGACAAGAGAAGAAACACAGTACTCAGAAAGGTGTGAATTTTTAAAAATCTGATATTCCATGTCCAGCCAAGACCAGAAATATTTCAATGACGCCAGTTCAATGCTTTTCTAAACTTCTAATCTACTGAGTAGGGCAAAGTATGTCAGTCCCTGCAGAGGCAACAACAAAATCCAAAAAGCAGTAGCTGCTCACTGTGCTTGCATGAAAATAGTTCTTCTGATATCAGAATCCATCAAGTCCATTTGTTTTATAGCCATTAATAGTACAAAAATTAGGAAACCAGGGGTCAAACTTCATCAGTTCAACCCTGTGAGGAGGTCAAAGTAACTCAGCCTCCTTCCTGTTTCCAAATCCTATCAGAAGCAGAAGTGAGAAGTAAATATAATTATCTTGATGTGTCGAAAAAGAGAGAATGAGAAGCAAATTTGCATCCTGTGGGATGTTTTCCTAGTGCTACTGAACCCCCAGGAACACTGTGCCACCGTTTTCAGTGGGAGCAGAACTGAGGTCCTTAATGGACACAGCATATTACCAGTAACCCACCAGGTTGTTTCTAAATGCATGATATTCAGAGTCCCCTTTATGATCAGAGAGCATGCTTACCTTCTTCTTTATTGTTGGTGATATCTTTCAGCAGCTCAGTCTTCATGCAGATGTCTTTCCTACTTTCTCCCTTACTCTGCACTGTTTGCTGGGGTGGGAGAAGAGAGAGAGAAATAGGCAGGGTTTAGCCCAACATTCATATATACTATACGCATTTAAACAAAAGCAAGTTACAGAAAAATTCTTCTAACATCATGGACATGCTGCATATTGCTAACTCACTCCTCTAGGAAACTATCAGCAAGGTCCTGATCAAACACCAAAAATTCTAAGGCCTGTCAGACCTGACAGCCCACCGTATTCGAGTGTGCATTTTCTTCTGCAGTTGCCATTTATATCTTCTTAGTAAAGACTCAGGCCAAGATTGCTTCAACAGTGACTTCGGGTGCCATATTCAAGGCTACAAAGTGACACCCTAAAGTCACCAGCCAGTTTTGAAGATCTCAGCCTAGCAATGTTAAGAGACTCCGGTATTTTCTCCAGTTTGTTCAAACATAACATGCTACATTTCAAATTTCATCATTTAAGACTGCTACATTTATGACAGCTATTTCTCACCAAAAACTCAGTTCTAAGTTCTAGTGGGTTTTTTTTTTAAAGAAATAAACACCAGCTATATTATTCTGCCACTGAGACACTTGACATCAGGCTCCTATCTGGGGTCAGTGTTTTTTCTGCTTAATTTATAAATGCCTGGCCATGAAGAAAAGCACAAACAGTCAGAGAGGGGAGAAAGGTATTTTTTTTAAATCCTGTAGGAGGAAGACCTTTTTGACACAGTTCCCTCTTTGAAGGGACAAGCCAGTGTAAAAAGAAAAGATGACGACTGCCTTGCATTATTACAATGAAGCTGTCCTTACAGGAACATCCATCGTAAGGGCTGGGGAATGACAAGGGGAAAGAGTTCATTTCATGCTGCGTGAATCATAGAAGAAGAATAAGCCTAGGTCAAGCCAACTGTTGTAGGCCAACACAGAGAGCAGATGGTGCCTACAGCCATGTAAATGAAAAGGTTTAAAAACACACTGAGTAAAGAAAACCTGCCCATCTCCCAGAAAGCAAGCAAAGGGAACTGAGACTTATGCGAGCCAGGCACGTTAGCTTTAAAAACTCTTTCCATGCAAACAAGGATCTGCACATTGCCCTTCCCATTGTCATTTAAGTCTGAATGCTCCAAGGCTAGCAGCCCAGCTGATCCTGGTATTACTGTTACAAGTCATTCTGCAATTTTTGTTTCCATATAAACTCAGCTGCACTGCCAAGTTCTTTCTGGTCTTACAGCAGCAGGGTCCTTCCTTTATGTATTGCAACAGCCTCCTGGTCTGTTTAGCAAGTCCTCTGTATCAACCCATACTACATCACTGGCAGCAGGCTATTCAGGAAAGCTCAGGAAACACTAAGGCCACTGTGTAGGGGGTTAAAAAATGCTGTCATCGTCTCAAAACCAGTGAACAACTAAGCTAAGCAGAGGAAACAGGTTTGAGGAACTCTACTTGTTAAAGTTTCTAGGAAAACCTCCCTTTTTATCTAAGAAATGAACCAACAAGGGGCAGGTCCTTCCATGGGGAACTGAAGACATTTTGCATCTTAGAGGATCTTGCCTCAGATAAGTAATACACGCCCTATTTCCCCCTTCATGCATAAGCACTCTTCCATAAACAAACTGCAAAGATGCATGTCTACGAGGGCCCAATTAAAAAGGAGACTCAGACACTGAAAATAATGCATCCAATTTTTAAGAGGTACAGAAATATTTTTAAAAAGTGATTTAGACTCCAGCTTAGTCCTATGATTGAACAGTTTTAGATGAGACAAGCTTATGGCAAGGACAGGCATCATAGATTTTCCATCATGAAATGATCATTAGTGCAGCCTGAAGACTACGTGTAGGTCAAACTTATTGTTGTTCAGCTAAGAGTTAAAAAATTATTTGTGGGGCACACTTACATGTATGAATGCCAACTCTCCTCCCTCTTGCCTTGGTGTAACTCAGGAATAACAACTTCAATGATGTCAATGGAATTATTCTGGTGAAGGCTACTGCAAATGAGAGTAGAGTCAGGCCCACTGTATCTATGCAAACACACACAGACACAGGGGCTCTTGCTCTTGAAGAATGAATAACCTTGCCCTTGCAGCAGTGACTGACATAAAATAAAAAAGCCTCTGTACCTCTAACAGTGGCCAGTTTGTTTTCAGACCTTTAGGTTATACAAATAAATCTCTTCCCGCTCCTACCTTTAAACTGATTCCAACTGAAAGCTTCAAGTTTTCAGATTAGCCATTTTTTTTTGTTCAATTGATCTACATTTTCTGGATTACAAAATGTGATGCCCTTAGCCACAAATCGTCATTCATAAACCCCCTTTCACCTTGCCAGAGGATATGATGCTGCTGCTCAAGTGACGAGGCCTGAAAGAAAAGCCACTGCTAGAACCCTGAAGACTGAGCAGACCCCAGCAACCTGCCTACAGACCTGCGCTCTCCAGGACTGCCATGAGCAGTACCTGGCAGTCCAGAAGCTGGCAAACAAAAGTCGCTTTCTAAAGAGAATCCCTATTCCTGCCACAGAAGCTAAAGATCATTTCTGTCCCATACTACTGTCAAAACACAAGACAGGATTACTCTAGGTTGCTTCTGACAGGCTCACGTGGTCCGTATTTCAGAACCACATCCAAATGGCCCTCATTAAAAGCATCAGTGCCCACACCTATAAAAAAAAAAGAAACAAAAAACCAAACCAGCATAAACTGCACATCAACATCTAAAACAGTCCAATGCTTCTTCAGCCCTGTGGAGGGGGAAAAGACCACTGCACGTTTGGAAGCACATTCAGCAGAAAAAGGAGAATTGCTGCAAAGTATTCGAAGCCTGCACCCCATCCAACCAGAGGAGGAGGCAAGTCCCCCCCTTCTTGGTCTCTCAACAGTCAGTTGCATCAAGTTTATGGCAAACATTTGCAGCCTGAAGACAGAATTCAGAAGCAGAGTCCTGCACAACCCACACCACCACCACCACCCACACTCCCTCCTCCAGAGCAGCAGGATTCTGGCTGCCCATCCATTTCCATCCAGCACACAATCCCACCCAAGCTTGTTAGCAGCAACTTTGTTGTAAGTGTCAATACCTCCATTTTTTTCCCCTTATATTCAAAGCAAACTTCCCTTTTTGCTCACACTCCACCATGCCCCAATCTGTCGGCTCCTGATTGGCAGAGAAATCTTATACCCACCCTCCTAGCAGAGAAATGTCTGCTTTCACAGCAGTCCCAACAAAAGCCAACTGCCAAGCACAGCCGGCTTCAGAATAAAAGTCTCTCACACTCTTTTTTTCCCCCTTTCCTGCAGCCGTCCGTCTCCATTCCTCTGCCTACAACAGAGTGATTATTAATCTTCAGTCACTGGAGCCTCCACAAAGATTATGCCCCACAACCAATGAAGCCTTATTTTTCCTTCTCTCTCTTTTTTATTGTTGCTTTCAAGGGAAACAAAAATTACTGCATTTGAAAAGAGACTGGGTAGGTCTTTGAAAGGACTTTAAAAACCATGAGAATCCAAATGAAGCTAGCACTAGGGTTTTTTTTTCCCCCCTCTCCACCTCGAACATAAGAAATCAAGCTTCCTTAGCTACTTCAAAGCTTAGAAGGGAATGGAAGAAGATGCAAGCGGAGGGGCTGCAGCATTTCCAAACACAGAACTAGAAGCTAAACTGGTTCCTTAATAATTGTTGAAAAAAAAATAAAGCTAAAAGAACAGAAAGAAGCTTCTCTTTGGGATTTTCATCAGCCAGCTGCGTTCATTCCCCAGCAACTTGGTTCCAATAAAGCTTTTGTGCAAAAAGACAACACATGCACATCAAAACTTTAATCCAGCATTTTGTAGCTGACAAGCCCCCAAGAGATCAGCGAGTTACATCATAAACCAGAGTTCTCTAAATTTCATACAATGAAAAGAGATATACTAAGATGTCTACCTTCAACCAGGTTTTTCCTCATTGTCTTAAAATGAACTGTCCAGGAACCTGAGACTTAGAAGAAACCTTTTCCTAATTTAAAAATGCAGCTAAAACAGGTCAGCTTGAAGAAGCATGCATGTGGGAAACAATTAGAGAAGACTAAACCTTCTCTTCTCCAACTATGCAGTGCACTACAGAAAATGCTATTATTTAACATTTAACATTCAGGGCACTAGCCACATCAACACATCTGTTCGCAGACTAGGAAAGAAAGACAGAGGAATGATTTTGAACGGCCTGCAAAGCCTACAACCAGAAGCTTCAAAACTCAATGGATATGTAGCCCCTTTCTCCATGCCAGGGACACCACTCTTCTCCCCACAGGCCACCCACCCACCCCCACAAAATCAGCTCTCCCAACAGATCAAATTCTACTCCTAGGCAAACCTCCAGTAAGCACTTCAACAAAGTAATATTTCACCTACTGTGCAAGGCGGCGGCGAGGTATGCAATATGTACTGTAGCAAGAAAGAAAGGCAAAGCTCTTAATAATGATGCAATTCCAGCAGCAGCAGATTCTCATTCACCCTTTATTTTTCTCCCTTTTCCTCCTGAAAATCAACTTTCTAATAATATCCATTGGCTTACGAAGAAAAAGACAGACATTTAGCAGCTAGTTATTTAGGAAACAGTGATTAAGAAAACACTTGGCGAAAGAAAGATTCTATTTTCTGTTGTTGCTGCTGTTGACATGTGAAGAGTGTTAACTTCAAGTTTATGCACAGATCATGTCCTGCTGTCCACCGGCTAGATCTAGGATAAACCTTGTTGGCGAGATGCTGGCCTCCTAGGAGTGGCCGCAGAATTATTTCACTCAGGAAGTGGAAGAAATGCAATCAACAATGTACCTGGCCTACAAAGCAGCCCCCAGTCTCAAAGCTCCTTTTAAGATTGAGGCCACTTCCTTGAGAGCCTCTAGCAATCATGTGAATTGTGGCTAATATGCCATATTCAAAACAAGCACCACTCTCCTCATTTGTTGTCAAACCAGATTAGTCTTGTGATTCTCTTGTTTTAATCAAGCAATTCAGGGGACAGTTTCAGTGCATGGTTTCCCTTGCCTCCTATAAAAAC